TGTACTTAAATCAGCACATGGAGGTTTGGTGTGAACATCAAAGTACACAGCTGGAGCCGACTTCTATGGTGGACATAAATATCTTACACGAGAAAAAGTCAATAGCAATATCACATCACTTGAGAAGGCTATCATCAAGATCAATGAAGATATATAGTGCAGAAACCTCCTACAACTGTTCCGCTGAATAATAACCTTCTCTATCAATTATTCACACGAAGGAAGCCTTAATTATTGAGGGTGCGATTATCTCCGGAGATGGCCAGTCGTTGCCTGTCAGAACTTACACGCTGTGCGATCTGTCTGGGAGATCAGACCTCACCGAGAGCTCTACCTTGCCTCCACTCTTTCTGTGAGTCTTGTCTAGAGAAACACATACAGACCTCCGATATCACACCTGGTCACCACAGACTCACATTCGGCAGTCATCAGTATAAAAAATCATTTCCTTGTCCAGCTTGCAGGAAACCAACAACAATGCCAACAAATGGGGTTCAAGGATTTCCAAAGGATTTCAGGATTATTGAATTCAAAGAAGTGTGGAGATCATCAAAGGAAGTGAATGGCAGCAATGTTCCATCCTGTGACATGTGTGGTGAGAAAGTCCCTCTCAAGACGGCCGAATCTTTTTGTGTTGACTGCTGTAAGTATTTTTGTATACAATGCAGCTCGCATCATAACCAAAAGTCTGTGTTAAAGTCACACATTATGGTGCCAATTACAAAGGATCTTACTGTTGACTGTTCAAAAACAAACTGTTGCCAACACCACAAAATGGAGGCTATAAAATTTTACTGTGAGACCTGTAAGTATGGAATATGTGTCAAGTGTCTCCTTGGTGATCACGGTAAACATACAGTTACTGATTTAACAACGACTTTGAACTCAAAAAGAAATGACTTAAAACATTGTATCCAACACATTCACGACCAAATATGGATTCTGCAAGACATACTTTTTAATCTCACTTGTCTTGAAGGTCGTATCAAGGGCAAGTATGAGGAAACAAAACTTCATATGAAAAAAAGTTCTCGTAAACTTGTCAACAAAATCTTTGGTGCAGAGGTCAAGCTTCTGTGTGAACTAGATGAAGAATACCAAAGGCAATCTGATGATGTTTATAGACGTAAACAGCAGTGCAGGACACATCTAGAACAGTTCAAAAGCTTGCAGTCTCGACTGGATGGTATTCTAAAGGTTGAGGATGTTGACAAAGTTCTAGAGAACTACACAGATATCCTGAGTGAAGTTCATGAAATCAACATCACCAGGCAATACAAATCGAAATTCCTGAAGTTTCCAGAAACATTGGAGTTTGTTCCCAATGGAAGTGTATCTGTTGGAAAACTTACACTAGTACCTAATGATATCCAAGGGCGTCAGAGAGCATCATCACGACACAGGTTATCACGATCTGCAAGCGGCCAAGTCCTTCAAACACAGCAACAAAAGTCAGGCAAATCCTCCACTGCTCCAGGGTCTAAACCCAGAATGGCATCACCATCGAGCCGCAGCTTTCAAGCAGGCAGAGTCACTAACCCTCTCCACAGAAGTCAGCCAATACTATTTGATCAGAATGAGGAAGAATCTCATGGCCAAAATCTGCAACCAGTGTCAATAACCTATGACCCAGAAAGGTATTGTGAAGTGAACTCGTCAAATTCTGATTGCGTACCTGCAGTAAAGCTTGCCTACAGGATCAACACTACTGGTGCTGGGCGGGGACAGTTAAGCCTTCCCTTTAGTGCTTCCTTTGACAGAGACGACCGTCTGATTGTAGCCGAGAATGGTAACGGGCGGCTCCAAATGTTTGGCAAATTTGGACATGCGGTCAAGGTCATAAGTCTTCCTGGTTGTGTGCCAAGATGTGTTACCACAACCTTTGATGGTAAGGGATATGCCCTAACTGATGAGGAATCCAAAAGTGTGAAAGTGGTATCTGAAGATGGGTCTGTCATAAAGGAAATCTACACTGCTGTAGATGCCTTCCCCTTCGGAATTACCATGTTAGATGAAGATAGATTTGCTATATCGGACATTATTTACGAATGTGTATGTATTGTTTCAGTCAGTGGTGAAAAGGAAATACGGTTTGGTTCTCAAGGTGCTATGTCAGCCATATTGGAAAACCCTTCTTACCTAACAACAAATGTGTACGGCAACATCCTGGTGTCAGATTCGGGCCATCATGAGGTGAAAGTGTTTGACAGGCAAGGGAACTTCTTGTACAAGTTTGGAGGGTACGGTACTGCAGGAGGACAGCTAAGGTACCCGAAGGGGATTATTTGTGACAGGAATGGCCTGGTTTACGTAGCAGACTCTGGTAATGACCGAGTAGTGGTATTCTCTGAGGTGGGCCTTTACTGTGGGGTGTTGGTGGGACGAGACAGTGGCATAAAGCGTCCAACAGGCCTGGCCTATAGTCCCACGGGGCTTGTGGCCATTACTATGCCTGACAGTGATGAGGTATGTGTGTATGAGCTTACCAGTTCAATACCAAGGTCAATAACATCTTAACTCTTTCATTACTGTAGACTATAATGGACTCATCCATATCAGTGCATGGTAGAGTCTACTAAAGTTTCATAGGGGTGAAATGGTTAAACAATATATTTCAGATGATAGAAAATAATGCCATGGTACTAGAGCATAAATAAAAATTAATAAAACTTTGTCTTCAAAATTCTTGGATAACTTTTACTAAATGCAATTTGATATGGTACTCAGTAGAACATTGAAATTTTTGAAAACTTTGTTCAAACTGATCGGGAGTTCGCTCTAGCATTTAAAAGCCTAATCTAAAACCATGTAATTGACTGACAAATCATCTTCAGGTCAGGAGCACTATATATTTCTATAGAGATGTCATCGCTGTCTCTTGGGCAATATATCACTGCTAAATCATAGACACTATATTTGAAAATAATTTGCCAACACATAAACTGTAATATGTGCTTACAGTTAAGTGTAGAAATGAAACACCTAGATATAATTAACTACAATATTTATTAACTGTCGCCACATATATCTTACAGTTTCATCAATGTACCATGTATCATTATCACATCTTCGGCACACATGCAGGCATACACACATAGGGAGATATTAGCCAGGTGGCATAAGACTAGTAGTTAGCGTCTGATAAGGCAGCTCCAGCGAATTCCTCAAAATTGTATTGATTAATGTATATTTTAATTGTACTAATTGTAAAGCGCTTAAGAGTGGCTTATATTAGCTAGATAGGGCGCTATATCAAATGTTGCATATTATTATTATTATTATTATTATGTGTCAGAAAAACTATAATCCCAAATTTATGCACAACACTAAATAAGGCCTACTCCAGTGAAAGTCCTGGTGTCACATAGACTCTAATGGGAATAGTCTTAACATTTATTCTGACAATTTAAATAGGGTAACAAGGAATATTCTATTATACAAGAGGCCCATGGGCCTTAACGGTCACCTGATATATTTATACAGAGAGTTAATTTTGTTTTTAACATGAACAGAAATATAATTCAAAGTGAAAAAAACAATAAAACCACCTTATTCAATATCTAGCATACAGATTTCAGACTAAAAAGTATTTGAAACTAGCACCTCTGATTCTAAACAAGGAAAAATGAAGAAATTTTAGCACACTGACTCCTTTGAGCCCCACCCTACAGCCCTTGGGGGTAGGGCTGGCTCAAAATTTTCAAAGTATCAAACTGTCAACTCAAGGATATAATTCCAATCAAGTTATTAACATGTAATATATCATGTAAAGTATCATTTGCCATTATAAACCATAATAAGATTTTTGAAATTTTAGTCAATTTGACCCTTTTTGGCCCCGCCCCTCAGACCCCTGGGGGCTTGGGACTAAACCGGCCACTATTTTTGTTGACCTTTGTCCATTGGAGGTCCCTGTAAAATTTCATTGAAATTGGTTCAGGGGTTTTGGAGAAGAAGATTTTTGAAATTTTAGTCAATTTGACCCTTTTTGGCCCCGCCCCTCAGGCCCCTGAAGGCTTGGGACCAAACCAGCAATTATTTTTGTTGACCTTTGGCCATGGAAGGTTCCTGCAAAATTTCATTGAAATTGGTTCAGGGGTTTTGGAGAAGAAGATTTTTGAAATTTTAGTCAATTTGACCCTTTTTGGCCCCGCCCCTCAGGCCCCTGAAGGCTTGGGACCAAACCAGCAATTATTTTTGTTGACCTTTGGCCATGGAAGGTTTCTGCAAAATTTCATTGAAATTGGTTCAGGGGTTTTGGAGAAGAAGTCGAAAATGTAAATTGTTTACGGACGCACGACGGACGGACGGACGACGACGGCCAAAAGGCAATCGCAATAGGTCACTTGAGACTTTGTCTCAGGTGACCTAAAAAGCTATCAAACAATTTTATCTAAAAGTATGGTACATTTGTACTGTATTAATTGAAAAATGGTCAAATATGCCTGCTTTGTTTCCCTATCCATGCTGGAAAACATGTATTTTGATAACTTGAAATCAGTACATATACTTCATAATACACTTATACCTGATGAGATGGAATATGTCACAGTGGCTTTGTTTATTATGTACTTGATTCTCGGGAGTTGCAAAACAAAGTAACTCAGTCTAAACTGTACAGTTGTGGGAACGCACAACATTACGCGATGTGCGGTGTGAGCACAATGTGGGCACGGAGTGTGAACGATGTGTGAACGATGTGTAAACGATTGAAATCTGGATGATGTGCGAACGGTGTGTGCACGATGAATGCACGATGTGCACACACTATTTTTGGTGCGTTGTGCGGTCCCACAACTGTACCTTTCAGGTAGGAAATAGGCATACCCAAATGTGCTATGTTCTCCCCTAGGTTAGATAAATAGTAAGAATCTGTGATCTTATTACCTGCCAGTTATGTCTAAAACTAAATTAATGGGAGGTTACTGTACGTTTGAAAACCTACAGTGGAATTATTTTGTCCTTTGGCTGTTGTAGGACAGGGATACTGAATTACCTACCAGACCATTGTCCTGACATCTGTTACACTGACAGCTAAAGTAATACTGCTCCTGCAGCTGTTTCTGCCTCTCTGCTATTGTTGCCAGCTGGTCCAAATAGCTTATAGAAATCTACAAGAACACAATTGAATAATATAATATCAATTAATCAATATTTTATATTGAAATAATTGTTTTTGAATTCCATATTATCTATACTGTACAATATCAACCTAGAGACTTGTAATGTAGATGTATTTTGATTTTGACAGAGTTGAATATACTCTGTAAATATGGGTGAACAAATCCCTGGTCATAAATAACATGGTTCAAAGGTTCAAAATGATTGGAAAAAGAAGTAAGTAACTATCTAGTATCCTATTACTCACTGACATTGACTGGGTAAGGTTATCAGTCAATAATTCCTGTCACACACATACATTAGCTGGGGAGGGTTATTAGTCAATACCCCTATCACACTAACATAAGCTGGGGAGGGTTATTAGTCAATAATCCCTGTCACACATACACACCTTAGCTGGGGAGGGTTATCAGTCAATAATTCCTGTCACACACATACATTAGCTGGGGAGGGTTATTAGTAAATACCCCTGTCACACTAACATTAGCTGAGGAGGGTTATTAGTCAATACCCCTGTCACACACGTGCACACCTTAGCTGGGGAGGGTTATTAGTCAATACCCCTGTCACACTAACATTAGCTGGGGAGGGTTTTTAGTCAATACCCCTGTCACACACACCTTATAAGCTGGGGAGGGTTATTCGTCAATACCCTTGTCACACTAACATTAGATGGGGAGGGTTATCAATCACTACCCCTGTCACACTAACATTAGCTGGTAGGGTTATCAGTCGATACTCCTGTCACACTAACATTAGCTAGGGAGGGGTATCAGTCAATACCCCTGTCACACTAACATTAGCTGGGGAGGGTTATCAGTCGATACCCCTGTCACAGGAACATTAGCTGGGGAGGGTTATCAGTCAATACCCCTGTCACACGAACATTAGCTAGGGAGGGTTATCAGTCAATAGCCCAAGGTTATATATAAATACCTAATACAACAGTCACACTCACATTGGCTGGGGATGCCAAGGTTATTTATAAATACCTAATACCACAGTCACTCTCACATTGGCTGGGGATGCCAAGGTTATTTATAACTAGCTAATACCACAGTCACACTCACATTGGCTAGTGATGCCAAGATTATTTATAAATACCTAATACAACCGTCACACTCACATTGGCTGGGGATGCCAAGGTTATTTATAAATACCTAATCCCACAGTCACACTCACATTGGCTGGGGATGGCAAGCTTATTTATAAATACCTAATACCACAGTCACTCTCACATTGGCTGGGGATGCCAAGGTTATTTATAAATACCTAATCCCACAGTCACACTCACATTGGCTAGGGATGCCAAGATTATTTATAAATACCTAATACAACCGTCACACTCACATTGGCTGGGGATGCCCAGTTTATTTATAAATACCTAATACCACAGTCACACTCACATTGGCTAGGGATGCCAAGATTATTTATAAATACCTAATACCACAGTCACACTCACATTGGCTAGGTATTTATAAATAATCTTGGCATCCCTAGCCAAGGTGAGTGTGACTGTGGTATTAGGTATTTATAAATAATCTGGGCGTCCCCAGCCAATGTGAGTGTGACGGTTGTATTAGGTATTTATAAATAATCTTGGCAGCCCTAGCCAATGTGAGTGTGAATGTGGTATTAGGTATTCCTCAATAACCTTGGCATCCCCAGCCAAGGTTATCTATAAATACTTAATACCACAGTCACACTCACATTGGCTGGGGATGGCTCCTGTATGTCTTTAGTGGCCCTCACTGTCAGTCTGGTGCCTTGGAATGTGACAACAGCATTAGGCTCACAACTGTGATCCAACAAAGATGGACTAAGAAAAAAGGAAGATCTTAATTTAATGCAAACAACAATATATACACAAAGCTACTATTGATATAACCCACTTAAACTTGGCCACAATCTACAGAACAAAATAAAAACGCTGTATGTGTGACTTCCGACTATATATACCTGATGACCACAACAAGATAAGTAGATTTATAGAGTACATGACCCAATGATGCACCATCACTGGTGTTACTATGTTGATCATCTGTTCTCTCTAATACTTCCCGTACATCAATAACACAGCGTGGTATGAATATGCTACACAGACTTTTCGTCCTTACAGTCCATGCGTTTTGTTTCAAAGGCAGGATTTGTTTAGTACACATCTTATTATTTTTTCTCAATAATGCAGCGCACTAACATTGTCCAATCTAAGACTTATACACCAGTTGTAGCAGTCGTAATTCAATAGTGATGTTTCCTTAACTCTGCTTTATATTTACACCGTGAGTTTTAAGTTTTTTGGTTTTTTTTGTCATTTATACAATGTTCATGTCAGAATATTCTCTGTGCAATATGGATGTGGGAAGCCTGTGTACCTAAAACAATTACTTTTCTTTCAATCCACATAGTTTAGCTTAATGTATAGGTATTTTTGTAATTTTCTGTAATTCTGTAACTTTAAATTTGTTCATATAATAACATATCTACCAATTTGTAAAACTTATTTGATTGTTGACTGATTAGCTACATGAACCATGGACTCGCCATACAACTATAGTAATACCAATAGACATATAATCATTCTTATTTGTATAATACATGCATATATCATATATTTATTGTGTCAGAACCTACTTTGCAATAATTGGTATCACGTACTGTATGAAGTAAGCTGGCTTTAACCATTTCACCACTGAAGACCATATATAATAGACTCATCCAAATCAATGTATGGTAGAGTCTACTAAAGTTACCTAGGGGTGAAAGCTGGGTTATCATAACCTACTAAATTTATGGCTTTCTGCTTATATACCATCTTTTCATCTTGTAATTATTTATCCTCGAGAGTATGTATAAAATCAATGGGAATATATCATGGGTTCTTTGTGAAATAGTTTTAGTATAAGTATCATAAACTTTTATGCCATAATATTTAAACCTTTAGTTTAGTAATTTATATTCATCAAATTGTCAATAAAATATTGAGATTTCATCCCCTGCGTTGGCTGATTTTGTTCCACTTACTCAGAATATAAATCTGAAGATATTTAATGGTTACCATTCAACACCAGTACATAAATACTATTATACCATTTCAATTGTGTGGAGAAACTTCTTAATTATGTAATCATAATCATAACGAATCATAATGGAGGAAATATATTGTACATGAGACACAGTATACATAATGTACGTACATAGTACATCTGCTAAAGTATTGAAGAAGGAGTAATCTCAGTTCTAATTATCCCAGTAAATCCTACCTAAGGTAGATGGCAACACCAATGGACTGCATTTCTCCATCACATACGGTGAAGCTGTTGATCACCATCTACAAATCATATCACACAGTGAGTATAAATAAACATCTACAAATCATAACACACATACTGTGATTATAAATAAACATCTACAAATCATAACACACATACAGTGATTATAAATAAACATCTACAAATCATAACACACACACAATGAGTATAAATAAACATCTACAAATCATAACATACACACAGTGATTATAAATAAACATCTACAAATCATAACACATACAGTGATTATAAATAAACATCTACAAAATAATAACACACACAGTGATTATAGATAAACATCTACAAATCATAACACACACAAAACCATAGCATACACACACCCATACAGTAATTATAAATAAACATCTACAAATCATAACACACACACCCATACAGTGTTTATAAATAAACACATACAAATCATAACACACACACACCCATACAGTAATTGTAAATAAACACTTAGAAATCATAACATGCACCTTTTCATGCTCATTTATTAGAAATAACACAAATAAATGTTCAGTTACTATTAACATTATCTACAGTGAATAAGTCACCACTTATAGATTTGAGACTATCACTTGGTTACCTAGTAACTATCACTTGGTTACCTTGTAACTATAGCTACAGTAACTATCACTTGGTTACCTAGTTACTATAGCTACAGTAACTATCACTTGGTTATCTAGTAAATATAGTTACAGTAACTATCACGTGGTTACTTAGTTACTATAGCTACAGTAACTATCACTTGGTTACCTTGTAACTAAAGCTACAGTAACTATCACTTGGTTATCTAGTAAATATAGTTACAGTAACTATCACTTGGTTACCTAGTCACTATAGCTACATGCAGTAACTATCACTTGGTTACCTAGTAACTATAGCTACAGGCAGTAACTATCACTTGGTTACCTAGTAACTATAGCTACATGTAGTAACTATCACTTGGTTACCTAGTCACTATAGCTACAGTATCTATCACTTGGTTACCTAGTCACTATAGCTACATGCAGTAACTATCTCTTGGTTACCTAGTAACTATAGCTACATGCAGTAACTATCACAAGGTTACCTAGTAACTATAGCTACATGCAGTAACTATCACTAGGTTACCTAGTAACTATAGCTACATGCAGTAACTATCACTAGGTTACCTAGTAACTATAGCTACATGCAGTAACTATCACTAGGTTACCTAGTAACTATAGCTACATGCAGTAACTATCACTTGGTTACCTTGTAACTTAAGCTACAGTATCTATCACTTGGTTACCTAGTCACTATAGCTACAGTAACTATCACTTGGTTACCTAGTAACTATAGCTACAGAATCTATCACTAGGTTACCTAGAAACTATAGCTACATTATCTATCACTTGGTTACCTAGTAACTATAGCTAAAGTATCTATCACTAGGTTACCTAGAAACTATAGCTACAGGATCTATCACTTGGTTACCTAGTAACTATAGATACATGCAGTAACTATCACTTGGTTACCTTGTAACTTAAGCTACAGTATCTATCACATGGTTACCTAGTCACTATAGCTACATGCAGTAGCTATCACTTGGTTACCTTGTAACTAAAGCTACAGTATCTTTCACTTGGTTACCTAGTCACTATAGCTACAGTATATATTACTTGGTTACCTAGTCACTATAGCTACATGCAGTATCTATCACTTGGTTACCTAGTCACTAGAGCTACATGCAGTAACTATCACTTGGTTACCTAGTATCTATAGCTACAGTATTTATCACTTGGTTACCTAGTAACTATAGCTACAGCATCTATCACTAGGTTACCTAGAAACTATAGCTACAGTATCTATCCCTTGGTAACCTAGAAACTATAGCTACATGCAGTAACTATCACTTGGTTACCTAGTATCTATAGCTACAGTATCTATCACTTGGTTAACTAGTCACTATAGCTACAGTATCTATCACTTGGTTACCTTCCCAAATATTTCCAATAACTCGTTCGCAGGAGGAAGGTTGGAGTCTCCGAGTAGTTTCCCCAAGTAGCTACATGCAGTAACTATCACTTGGTTACCTTGTAACTTAAGCTACAGTATCTATCACATGGTTACCTAGTCACTATAGCTACATGCAGTATCTATCACTTGGTTACCTAGTCACTAGAGCTACATGCAGTAACTATCACTTGGTTACCTAGTATCTATAGCTACAGTATTTATCACTTGGTTACCTAGTAACTATAGCTACAGCATCTATCACTAGGTTACCTAGAAACTATAGCTACAGTATCTATCACTTGGTTACCTTCCCAAATATTTCCAATAACTCGTTCGCAGGAGGAAGGTTGGAGTCTCCGAGTAGTTTCCCCAAGTAGCTACATGCAGTAACTATCACTTGGTTACGTAGTAACTATAGCTACACGCAGTAACTATCACTTGGTTACCTAGTAACTATAGCTACAGTATCTATCACTTGGTTACCTTTCCAAATATTTCCAATAACTCGTTCGCAGGAGGAAGGTTGGAGTCTCCGAGTAGTTTCCCCAAGGTAAAAACAATCCTAGATAGTTGTTCCACTCTCTGCTGATCAGACTTGATCTTACTGGAGTCTAGAAAAAACATGTGACTGATTAAATTTCAACTATTCTCAAAATCAACAGAAAAAATTAAATCAATATGATCAGGTTGACATGAGTGAAATTCCATAATTGCCCCTGAATGTTTTGCAAACTTACTGATAGAAATTAAATGCACATGTGTACTTAGTTGAAAATGTATACCACATGGAGAAGCCATATGGACATTTTTTTCCAGATGAATTTCGAACAATTTTCAAATTCCATCAAAGAAAACAATTTAATCAACATATAAAACTTACGTGATAAGAAATCAGAAAATTTTCTCCAGCCAATATCTTTTTTTACAGATTCTCCATTGTCACCTGCCTGGAGAAGGAAAGAACAGATTTAAGAATTGTTCAGGGCCTGATGAAGACTCGAACATAGAGGCGAAACTAGTCGGCCAATAAATAAGTACCAACTTACTGGTGAGGCTTGAGCATGTTGTGATTGATACACCCTTCTAATTATATTGTCATAGTTCATCAATCGCTCTGCATATACCTTGGGTATCCATACTCAAGTGCAGCACCCCGCTGAACAACCAACCTACTTTTTGACTGACGTTGGCTCTAATTCTTTTTTAATTTTTGACAAAAAAGTTACAGGGTCAAATGATTCCATTGACAGCCTTCATAATATGTTTTTGGTAATGTACACAGCATGTAGAAGAACATGTATATGAGGCTCAGAGAGCTTATACCACTCACCTAAACATGTAAGCAATAAAGGCAACATTATTAAAAGTTATATTGAAAACAAGTTACCAGGAGGGAGGCTGGACCCAAGGTCAATCCTCATAGCATATGTAAACTCAGATCTTCATGTTCATGATTATATTGTGGGGACCTTAACCATTTCTGTTATATGATCCATGAACTTGGTGTCTCAACAGGCTAAGCTCAAGATCCTGGGGCCAATTCTAGATCTGATAACATTATTTGTCATGCCCAGCAATTGTAAATGCAATAAAAATAAGTAATAATAATTTGAGGTTCTTATATATCGCTTATCACAACCTAGTTCGTAGGTCATCTCAAAGTGGTTCACAAATTATTATCAGCGGCAATATGGCCTTTGCAACCAGCCAATATTTTTCTCAACTCCCTGGGGAGCAGTATACAGCCGGAGCTGCCATTTCGATGCTAACAGCTAGCATTCAACAATTCTAGCGCTGCCCAACCACATACTCATTTACAGCTGAGTAGACTGGAACAAGCAGAGTAAAGTATCTTGCCCAAAGATACAACACAGTGCCATGACTCGCACCCGCAACCTTTTGGTCACAAGCCCGGCGTCCAACCACTAGATTACCGTGCCTCCTATATATATATAGTTATGGGTTGGCAATCTCAACCATTACATTTCTCTTAAACCATAGAGACTCTTTTCCAGGAATTGGACCAGACTCGGGGGCAAATTCATGATGTACATATGTATTGTGTATATACAAATATCCATACCATGTATATTGTTCCCATGTTATGACAAATTGGATCAGAGTCTCAAGGGACAGGACCAACTCTAGATCTGAAGCATGACTGCATAGTGTTTGTCTCTTCATGCTCAGCAATTGTGTACAAGGTTATACAGTGTGGATGCCAACCATTTCAAATATATGACTAAATGATTATTAAGTCTAGGATTTTGGCTAGTGGCCAATCCTTGAAACATACATGTATTCCTCTCTTTATACTAACACCCTCTGGGATGGTAGAGGGCAGAACCGAGGATAGCATGAGTGTGTCCATTAGTCAGTCTATTAGTTTAATAGTTTTTAATCCTAACAACCTGAAAATGATCACATGATTAACCAGCAGCAATATACATGGCAGCATACAGTTGATGACATGACTACCAAGTCTGTCATCAATCATACCTTTTGTTTGAGAATGAGTTTCAACATTAGACGCACACTGTCCAGGGGAACATCAGGGAAAACTCTCTTCAGACAAGGGCATTCCCCTCTGTGTGATGTCCAGTCTGCTTTCTGCAACAGATATATGACTGTAGTCAATATTTGTCAATTTATTTGCTCCAAATTTCCAAATAACAACCCGGGACCTTAGATCTGTAGAATGATGATCTAACCAACAGAGGTACCTAGTCACCAGTAAAGTCACCATGTCAATGCTAAACAGTGATAACAACCTTGGACCTTAGATCTGTAGAATGATGATCTAACCAACAGAGGTACCTAGTCACCAGTAAAGTCACCATGTCAAGGCTAAACAGTGATAACAACCCGGGACCTTAGATCTGTAGAATGATGATCTAACCAACAGAGGTACCTAGTCACCAGTAAAGTCACCATGTCAAGGCTAAACAGTGATAACAACCCGGGACCTTAGATCTGTAGAATGATGATCTAACCAACAGAGGTACCTAGTCACCAGTAAAGTCACCTTGTCAAGGCTAAACTGTGATAACAACCCGGGACCTTAGATCTGTAGAATGATGATCTAACCAACAGAGGTACCTAGTCACCAGTAAAGTCACCTTGTCAAGGCTAAACTGTGATAACAACCCGGGACCTTAGATCTGTAGAATGATGATCTAACCAACAGAGGTACCTAGTCACCAGTAAAGTCACCTTGTCAAGGCTAAACTGTGATAACAACCCGGGACCTTAGATCTGTAGAATGATGATCTAACCAACAGAGGTACCTAGTCACCAGTAAAGTCACCTTGTCAAGGCTAAACTGTGATAACAACCCGGGACCTTAGATCTGTAGAATGATGATCTAACCAACAGAGGTACCTAGTCACCAGTAAAGTCACCTTGTCAAGGCTAAACTGTGATAACAACCCGGGACCTTAGATCTGTAGAATGATGATCTAACCAACAGAGGTACCTAGTCACCAGTAAAGTCACCTTGTCAAGGCTAAACTGTGATAACAACCCGGGACCTTAGATCTGTAGAATGATGATCTAACCAACAGAGGTACCTAGTCACCAGTAAAGTCACCTTGTCAAGGCTAAACTGTGATAACAACCCGGGACCTTAGATCTGTAGAATGATGATCTAACCAACAGAGGTACCTAGTCACCAGTAAAGTCACCTTGTCAAGGCTAAACTGTGATAACAACCCGGGACCTTAGATCTGTAGAATGATGATCTAACCAACAGAGGTACCTAGTCACCAGTAAAGTCACCTTGTCAAGGCTAAACTGTGATAACAACCCGGGACCTTAGATCTGTAGAATGATGATCTAACCAACAGAGGTACCTAGTCACCAGTAAAGTCACCTTGTCAAGGCTAAACTGTGATAACAACCCGGGACCTTAGATCTGTAGAATGATGATCTAACCAACAGAGGTACCTAGTCACCAGTAAAGTCACCTTGTCAAGGCTAAACTGTGATAACAACCCGGGACCTTAGATCTGTAGAATGATGATCTAACCAACAGAGGTACCTAGTCACCAGTAAAGTCACCTTGTCAAGGCTAAACTGTGATAACAACCCGGGACCTTAGATCTGTAGAATGATGATCTAACCAACAGAGGTACCTAGTCACCAGTAAAGTCACCTTGTCAAGGCTAAACTGTGATAACAACCCGGGACCTTAGATCTGTAGAATGATGATCTAACCAACAGAGGTACCTAGTCACCAGTAAAGTCACCTTGTCAAGGCTAAACTGTGATAACAACCCGGGACCTTAGATCTGTAGAATGATGATCTAACCAACAGAGGTACCTAGTCACCAGTAAAGTCACCTTGTCAAGGCTAAACTGTGATAACAACCCGGGACCTTAGATCTGTAGAATGATGATCTAACCAACAGAGGTACCTAGTCACCAGTAAAGTCACCTTGTCAAGGCTAAACTGTGATAACAACCCGGGACCTTAGATCTGTAGAATGATGATCTAACCAACAGAGGTACCTAGTCACCAGTAAAGTCACCTTGTCAAGGCTAAACTGTGATAACAACCCAGGACCTTAGATCTGTAGAATGATGATCTAACCAACAGAGGTACCTAGTCACCAGTAAAGTCACCTTGTCAAGGCTAAACTGTGATAACAACCCGGGACCTTAGATCTGTAGAATGATGATCTAACCAACAGAGGTACCTAGTCACCAGTAAAGTCACCTTGTCAAGGCTAAACTGTGATAACAACCCGGGACCTTAGATCTGTAGAATGATGATCTAACCAACAGAGGTAGCTAGTCACCAGTAAAGTTACCTTGTCAAGGCTAAACAGTGATAACAACCCGGGACCTTAGATCTGTAGAATGATGAGCTAACCAACAGAGGTACCAAGTCACCAGTAAAGTTACCTTGTCAAGGTTCACTAAAAGGTTATGATACACTCCCACCTTGTAGGGGATATACATAGCAGAATGACATGACATATCAACATAATTGTAGGCAGTATTATCAATGTCTTGCCTGAGATTTGACACCAGCCTTGGGTTAGATAATCAAGGCTATCAGTCCTCAAACATCTTGTGATTTCTCTGTCGATAGCCCATATATCCTAAGTGTACACTGCAGGGGAAGACTGTTTCAATCTTTTGTAATAGAGTGGTGTTATGCATTGTTAGAATTTGATGGATGTATAAGTTAGTGAGGTTTCATCGGCTTATTATACAGATTGAGTCTCTGAATTTAATGAGTCACTGGCAGATTTTAATTGTACATTGGATAAAGGTCGCCTTCTAGCTTCGAGCTAGAAGTAATTTCCCCTCAGCTCAATGGTAGAGCATCCAACTTGGAACTTGGAGATCGTGGGTTTGATCCCCGGTGGAAGCACACTATTCTCTTTCAGTATAATATTAATGGAGACAAGTATTGAATGATGAATCCAAAAAAAGCAATCCTTACCTGGCATGCTGAATTACAATACCGCACTACCTTACACACTGTACACCTCTTGAGATCCTCACCACTGTAAATACATGTTGAAAGATTAGATTCAATCGCCACATATTTTATAAATATACATGTATTGAACACCAGAGAAAAGATCGAGTTATGTCCCCTTGTATAACTTTCCGACAACATTTGACGATAACTAAAAGCAAACTTAATAAAGACATGATAACAGTTAACGCTCAGATTTTAAAATTATGAATCAAAATCAAACCACTATTGAATGCATGAATAATGTGCAGTTATGGTGCTGAAGCAAGTCTTTACATATGCATTTTTAACGATCTTGGCTACCTAACGTGGCGTAATGTAAGTCAACCTAACAGGCTGGACTAACCTTTCGAAACACGAATCACATCTCCTGCCTCTCTCCTTATGTGATAAAACATATACAAACGGTTCTGATTGCAGAAGTATGTCACCCTTTCTCTTCATTTCGTCCCTTGGTAGCTAGTGAAACCCGTGTTAAAACCCACATGTACTTCACGTTTCTAATACGAAAGTAGGCGGAAGTTGAACCGGTAAGATTAAATTAAGGATCCTCGTCCGTCCCAGTCAGAGCAAAACACTAAAGAATTCCATTGTCGTTTTTCAGTGTTAGAGTCACCTGCCCCTGATTACCATTTCAACAATGTTGTTATCTTCCATCACGGACTTAGATAACTAATAATCTAATTCCGTGCTTCCATTGAAAAGATTTTTCAACTCCAGTCTTATTTTGCATTAGAAACATTGGAACACATGCGATTAAGAATGCTTGTACAGGTGTTTATGATGTTTATACAATAAACTAGAGTACCACAAACGGAAAATAATCATCATGTCAGTTTCGTTTGAATTTGTTTGAATCAGAGCACCACAGCATGATTAACGGTGCCGTTTTCGTGTATCGCGGTCCAAACGGTTGAACCGGTTGGACTACATTATGTAGAGTTGTTCGTTTATGAAATAAGGTCGGTCCACGGAAGCAGTTTATGGACAAAAGTGCACATAGTTGTATAGTTACATATATAACCCTAACAATAATTCTAAATAATCCCTTATATTTTAATTCAATTAGCGAATATTTATTCCTTTCTGATAAAAGAAAAATGATTTTGCATAAAACACAAACATTGCGCATTTCAATCAACTTCAACCAATCAGAAGTTAGAATTACAAATACCGCGCCAAACATTACGATATATACGACGTCATCACTTTTTTGTTTTCTGTTTTTAGTGGGGTTTTTTAAGATATAGCCTGATAAATGCGATTGGGGCAAAACCCAAAATCAAATAATATATTTGAAATTTTATTACAGGAATCAAAAAGAAAAAGAATAAAATAACGCCTTCTAACCAGAACAAAACACAACAATACCTGACAAAGGAATATATGCAACTCCTAGAACACATCATCACAAGTGCAACCATGAAACACTTAGAAGACAACACAATACTGCACGACCTTCAACACGGCTTCCGCACATCAAGATCATACAAGACGTTGCGCAGAACCACAACAACAACAAACAAACATACATTATAATAATGGATTTTGCCAAAGCCTTTGACAAAGTCCCACACAAACACTTACAGTACAAACTAAAATATTACGGCATCACCGGAACCACACTAACATACTTCCTATCACAACGCACCCAGACAGTAGTACTTGAGGGCAAACACACCGACAAAATCCCATTAACATATGGAGTGCCTCAAGGAACCTATTTGGGACCATTCTTCTTTCTCATATACATCAACGACTTCCCCGAATACATATCACACAGTACACTAAGACGTTTTTGCAGACGACAGTGTACTATACAAACAATCAACAACAAAGACAACATGACAAAACTACAAGCAGATTTAGATGCAGCTAGTAAATGGGAAGAGGACTGGCTCATGGAATTCCACCAGACAAATGCACCATACACACTATATCACCAAAACGCACACAAATTAAACACCAATACACACTCCATGACCACACACTGGAATATGTAAATTCAAACAAATATCTAGGCATCACACTTCAAAACAACTTAAAGTGGGACAAACACATTAACAACATCACATCAAATGCAAATAAATCACTAGGCTTTCTGAAACGCAACCTAAAAATAAACTCACCACACATAAAAGAACATGCATACAAGGCCATTGTAAGACCAAAACTCGAATACTGCTCTTCAGTTTGGAACCCTCACTTTATACAAATAATATAAATCAATTAGAAAAAGTACAACGAAGAGCAGCACGATATGTCCTAAACAAATACCATAACACAAGCTCAGTCACAGACATGATACATAACTTGCAATGGCCAACACTACACACACGCAGAAAAAGGACACGCATTATTCTTCTCTACAAAATAATACACACTAACAATCTCATCCCGGCAGACACCAGAACACGTCAAGGACACGACCTTAGTAACAGACCTATCTACATATCTAAAGACACATACAGACACTCATTCTTTCCATACACCATAATACAGTGGAACCTCCTACCCAAAACAATAATCCAATCAGAAACACTAGCTGAATTCAGGACATGCACCACATATAACATAATCGAACATATACAAAACCTACAACAAAACTAACACTCACTGCTTTTAACCTGTTTTTATCCTATAGGAAATAATAAATATAATAAAAAATAATTACTGTACATAACAATTAACGCACTATAGCACAAGCTTGACACAATCTTCCGTAATCGTCAATATTGACGGAGGAAGGAACAAAGATGAAGATAAAGAATCTGTCTCTTCATTTTGCTCTCATTAACTGTACGTTCCGGTCCCCGATGTCATTTTTCGACACAACCCCTATCGGTCGTATTATGAACCGTTTTCCCAGTGATATTGATGTGTCCTCTTCCTAGTAAGTATATGCTATATATTTATTCTATCATGTATCCCTTGTTGATTACAATAAGTCTGGTGGCATATCGGGAGCAAGAAACATCTTCCTCGCCTTGAAGTGTTTTTTCACATGATCACATGAGTTTCTACTATCTAAGTCCGTGGTCGGATCCAGTAATCGTAATCCGATGCTACTTTCAGCCGAAAATATCACATTCAAAATCGGACGTACCGGTTTTTCCGCAAAAAGGAGCGGGGGGGGGGGCTCTAATTATACTGGCGTTCGACTCAGTCCACAAATGGCAACAAATTAATCAATGCCGTAAACTATGATACAGTGTTTAGAGGAAGACAACTCAAATTATTGTTTTCAATTATAGTCAAACTGCATGGGTGCTGAGATGAAGAATAATATTATTGTTGTACTTGAAATAGTATCTTAAAAGAAATAACTCAAGTCAAATACTATATTTGAGCCTGTAGTTGTTCGTCTCTATCGTTAACATTATTTGACCACTTTGGTTGTATACATAGTGTAATGATGTAACTGAATGGCTGGTTATCATGTTTTATCTCACTTTATGCATAAAAGATACACGTGTCCCATACATCACACTCGTGTTGGATTATATAGGACTCTTTTATGCCAAGGGAAAAGGGAAAGGAAAAATCCACCTATGGGTTTTTAAATTAATACAAACCTTAGCAAGCATTGTTTTTTTTGTATCCAATTTGATAATTCCGACAAGATCGCACTTTTTTCCGGTGTGAAGTATATGTCCGTCGGCAGGAGAATCACCCCAGGAATTTAAGTGTTATTGCACAAAATGAAGGTCTTGCGTCGGATTTAAAAATGAGAGGTAACAGTTACAGAACAGTCCCACACAAAAGACTTGTCGCCATACGGAATTGGCGAGGAACTTGTTAAATGGACGGCCAGCTTCATCAACATTCCGACTGCAGCGATGTATCCTCAGGAGTTCCCCAGGGATCGGTACTCGGACATTGTTAGTCATATACATGCATGACCTATCTTTTTTTGCGGATGACACAAAATATACTCCAAGATGACCTGGACTATCTATCAGCTTAGAGCGATAAATGGTTACTGAAATTTCAACCCAAAAAAATGTAAATTGATGCGTATTGGCGGCATAAAAAAACGAGGAATTACAAAAAGTAGATAAGGAAAAAGACATAGGAGTAATTATAGACCAATCTCTATCTTTTGATGAACATATGTGTACACAAGTTAAAAAAGATTCTATGGTTGCATAAGTAATGAATACATCTTACATGCTTAAATTACCAACGCTGGCATTCAGAAGGATCAGGGCGGATATGATCGAAGAATATAAAATAACGAGCAATATTGATCTCTGATAGCAAGGCAGTGGGTTTTCTTCAACGCTGGAACAACAAGGTCCAAAGACAGGGGTCAAGAGGACATCCGAAAACACTTTTTCCACAACATTCTAAACTAGATATCAGGAAAATTTGTTTGGTCTGCGCTTAGTCAAAATATGGAACAATCTTCCAGAACAAGTAATCTCGGCACCAACAGCAAATGCTTTCAAAAACAGTTTAAAAATAAGCATTGGGGAGATCAAGCACTTTTATATAGTTATAAGTCCGAAATTCTAGAGAAATTGGAACTGTTGTAACAATTGATTTATTTGAGTCCGGTGTAGAGGATCTTAAATGATCCTGTACTGGTAATAAACTGAAGTTAAGTACCGTATTTTTTCTGTCCAAACACATATGTACATGTATGGTCTAAGATTGTTTATACATTATCTAGCAACTTTGCTCTATTTTGTGTAGCATTACCAAAAATTCGGCTGAGAGGTGGGAGATACCTACAATAGACTCTATTTATCTCACTCCCATTAGTTAATATCTAAACTGCAAAAGACACTGTAAACCTGGTGTCTATATACAATTTGAAAGATAACTAACCTGAGTAAGCTAAACTTGATAACCAAGCACAGGTACATGTTCTAGCCTCGTCTGTCAATACACCTATAAGTTATATTATAGATGTATTGACAGACGAAGCTATACTACCTGTGGACCAAGATACTAGCCCTAATTAATTATAACGCTATGACTAGCCTAACTAGTCTCATTTTAACGTTAAAAGTTAACGACGCATAAGATTGCATACTTTAAAATTGATTCGTACTGCTAGCTACAATGTAGTCTGCTTTACCTCCTCTATTATATAAAACCGAAACTCCTCGGTCAAAAGTCAAACCGTAATTGGCTCATGCGCGAATTTATTAACACCTGATTATTTGCCAATTTTACTGTTAAATTATTGTCCACAAAATGTACAAACTATTTGCCCATCACTGAATTTCTGTAAGCCTGTTTTATTTTCCAACGATTTGAAGTTACGCGCCAGAGTTATGAATAACGCGGAATATCTTCAGTCCAACTCCGTGTTAAAGTTATTGTTACCTCCCTTTAACTACATAATATGTCAACACGGTGGGTTCGGTGATAAAGTCCACAGTAGATAGCGCTGTCGATCCTTACGACACCGGGACAGAACAGGCGGATGTGGTTTAATAATCAGTCTTAACCAAGGTTGGACACAACTAGAACCGACTTTCATTAGGTGAGGACGAGAATATAAAATATGACACTGCCCGCTTGACCAGTAGGTTACAAGATGACCTAGATTTATTTATACCTTGTAAGTTACATGTACCAGGGATGTGTGCACAACACATCCCTGCTTGTACAGTAGGTAACGCTTCCAGTATTGCTTTATACGGTATGTAACCATGACTTAACGTTTATTCACGAAAACCATGTATAGTATGACTCTGAACAATTCAGTCATTGTATGGACTCAGGATTTCTGCTTCAGCTTTCGCTCGTGCTACCGTGCGTTCTATAGGCGATAAGGTGAAGCTTAGACTTGCTAAAGTCCTGTAATATACAACCTATATATATAAGGCACCGATATTCTCACAGATTAGGAAATTTGATGATATACTTGTAGATCTACCTTAATATGACATAATTATTAATAGTAGTTTGATATGCAAAACAAAAATAAGGATTGACTTAGCTTTATGTAACCGAGATACAGGTATGCCAGAGACGTACACTATATATGTATATATGGGACAAACAAGTAATTCCAACAGTGTGGACAAGTTTAGGTTGTCAAATTTTCGGAGCGATCCGCTCCTTTTTCAAGACACAGTGAAACAGAACAGTTACATGTACATATACATCATATTACAAGAAGATAGAATTGATGTACTATAATTGAAAATATAGCTATTATATAAAACCAATAGTCCCCCTCGGCTAAAGACAGCCGAAGGCAGTAATCAAGCTGAGAGCATCGCGGACAAGGAACGCTGATGTAGAGTATGTGTATATATATATATACGTCTCTGAGTTATATATTAGCATCACTAGCATCCGTAGTCTTGGTTGCGCCGTCTTATTAAAACATTTATCAATCTATGGGAAAAAGTGTATGTGTGTGTACAATTTGAACTAGACCGTCAACAGGGTGTTGGCACAGGGACCTGAGAATTGGTCTCCGATATATGATAATTGGGGATGTCAGTTTTAGCGAAAGTCGATCTAAACCCCTAAAACATGTAAAATTACTCTGAACATCTTAGTTTAGGTCCAAATATAGCTGTACCACATACTCAGGTCCCTGTGGGTGGTGGTAGTATTCCTTCTGACACCATTCTACGTATTCAGGTAAATCAGAGAAATCAAAACTTCAAAAGCAAATCATGCGATCCTGTCAGTGTTGCATGTAAATATGTTTTTTTGATATTTTGATTAACTAAACATTTTGGAAATACTCTCACTGTAACATCGTATTGCAGAGAAATATTATCTCGGTGTATGTTTAACTCTATTGATAACTAGCCTAAAGCTGTAGAAGATGAAGGAGGTGGCGATTATAGGAGCTGGGGCTAGCGGCCTTACTGCCATCAAGTGTTGTCTAGACGAGGGACTGGTACCCACGTGCTTCGAGAGGACCGGTGACATAGGTATGCACAATAAATCTTATCGTTGATGTTGAGTATGTGTAGTATCTTAAATCCAAGTAACTAATGATTGTTTAATAAATAAAGTCCTATTATAAACTTCGGCGTCTATTTGTTCTGAAACATGTACATGTACGTCGAAAACGCCAAGGCGGAAGTTCATAGACATCACAAAAAACCCCAAGAAACGCAAACATTCAGTGTTAAATAACAATCAAATCAGATGTAAGGAATCTATGTTACATGTGCATGGATATTTCACACGTTTGGCAGTGATGACTTGTGATGCCAGTCACAATGAAGACAATTTTATATAACAACGTCAAGATACCCAGTATGATATAAGAAACACGATTTAACAAGACCGTATATTTCTTATCATTATTTAATGTTACGTTACCACTTGGGATATGTCCTTGTCTTCTGCACTCAATATAAGCATGCGCGCTTATATGTACGCTTGACACTCACACTAAAGCACATTGCCTAGACACAGAACGTCACTATACAATGATTGCAAGTTGATTAATTAACCACTCTCGACTATGACCACTCCCATGACTACATATTTTTGTCACGAGTACATATCTGTACACCGTAGGTACCTATCGCAAATGAGGAAAATATATATTAATGCACTTCATATAGCTTTACGTAAAATGCAGTAGGTTTTTTTTCTTCTCATTTGCGATAGGTCCCTATATGCGCATGCATACGAAATAGCATTTTGATATGTTGATACCGCCCTGCCCCTTTGTGAACCTAAGCATCATCATCATGCCTAATTGTACTGTAGGTGGGCTATGGAACTATACAGACGACGTGAAGGATGGCCAGGCATGCGTGATGAAGTCGACGGTGATTAACACCAGTAAGGAGGTGATGTGTTACAGCGACTTTCCCATCCCGGAAGAGTTCCCTATGTACATGCACAACAAATATGTCAAGCAGTACTTCCAAATGTACATCACCCACTTCAAACTGGACAAATACATACAGTTCAATACAGAGGTAAGGCGGTGTTGTTTGTGTGTACCAGACATACTGATATCTGGACAAATACATACAGTTCAATACAGAGGTAAGGCGGTGTTGTATGTGTGTCCCAGACATACTGATATCTGGACAAATACATACAGTTCAATACAGAGGTAAGGCGGTGTTGTTTGTGTGTACCAGACATACTGATATCTGAACAAATACATACAGTTCAATACAAAGGTAAGGCGGTGTTGTTTGTGTGTACCAGACATACTGATATCTGGACAAAAACATACAGTTCAATACAGAGGTAAGGCGGTGTTGTTTGTGTATAGCAGACATACTGATATCTGGAAAAATACATACAGTTCAATACAGAGGTAAGGCGGGGTTGTTTGTGTGTACCAGACATACTGATATCTGAACAAATACATACAGTTCAATACAAAGGTAAGGCGGTGTTGTTTGTGTGTACCAGACATACAGATATCTGGACAAATACATACACTTCAATACAGAGGTAAGGCGGTGTTGTTTGTGTGTTCCAGACATACTGATATCTGGACGAATACATACACTTCAATTCAGAGGTAAGGCGGTGTTGTTTGTGTGTACCAGACATTCTGATATCTGGACAAATACATACAGTTCAATACAGAGGTAAGGCGGGGTTGTTTGTGTGTACCAGACATTCTGATATCTGGACAAATACATACAGTTCAATACAGAGGTAAGGCGGGGTTGTTTGTGTGTACCAGACATACTGATATCTGAACAAATACATACAGTTCAATACAGAGGTAAGGCGGGGTTGTTTGTGTGTACCAGACATTCTGATATCTGGACAAATACATACAGTTCAATACAGAGGTAAGGCGGGGTTGTTTGTGTGTACCAGACATTCTGATATCTGGACAAATACATACAGTTCAATACAGAGGTAAGGCGGGGTTGTTTGTGTGTACCAGACATACTGATATCTGGACAAATAGATACACTTCAATACAGAGGTAAGGCGGTGTTGTTTGTGTGTTCCAGACATACTGATATCTGGACGAATACATACAGTTCAATACAGAGGTAAGGCGGTTTTGTTTGTGTGTACCAGACATACTGATATCTGGACAAATACATACAGTTTAATACAAAGGTAAGGCGGTGTTGTTTTTTGTGTACCAGACATACTGATATCACACATACAGCGATAATGATAAGATATACAATAGGAAGTATTTGAATAGAGTATTAACCGGAAGATATACAAACATTGATTAGAATATCAAACATTCAATACAGACCTAAAGAATAAATATAGATCTACACAATTGTTTTTTTGCAATGTGAAAAACATATTGAATAAGAATAACAAAGTACAATGAAGCAATGGATGCATGATGTATGTGAAAACCTTGGATAAGGCTGCTATATAATTCGTTTAAAGTTTCCATCTATAAAGCAGCCATGCATGGTCAATGTTTGGGTTGGCGACTTACTAGTATACTGATGTAGTTATAAGCAGAAGTTCACCACCTTTTTCTAAACGATGATTATATGAATTAGTCGTAGGATACTGGTACTTAAAGATAGGCCATTCTCATAGCATCTTTGAAGGTAGCACGTTCTGCATATATCATTAAAAAACCAAGCTTGTACATTTGTCGAGACAAAATCCACTTCAAGAATTGTTTAGTAAGTCATATACATATATTTAGCCGGACGCCCTGAAAATCTAACAAATTCATTGGTCCAAACAGTAGCTATGTGCTATGTGATTTATTGTAAAAGCATCCTGTTGACACCTGGCACTTTTTAACTTTGTTGCAAGACACTTTTTCTCAGGAAAAAATATTTTCTTTACATGTGAAGCTGTTACTGCTCATATAAGCAAAATGTTGTCATTGTACTTCTTATTAATTATACGACAATAGTTATAGTAATTAAGAAACAAATATCCTCTGAAATACAGTAATTTGTTTTTCCTGTGAAGGTTTTGTCTATAAAACCAGCCAAGGACTTCAACACGAGTGGACAATGGTTGATCTCAACCCGCGACAAGTCTAAGAAGGAAATCACCAAGACGTTTGACGCGGTTCTGGTCTGTACTGGTCATCATGCCTCAGCTAACAAACCGGATTTCCCTGGACTTTCTGAATTCAAAGGCAGCGTCATCCATTCCCATGACTACAAGCGTCCTGGGAAATACGAAGATAAAAGGGTTGTCGTCATTGGAATCGGTAATTCCGGAGGCGACGCTGCTGTGGAACTTAGTAATGTTGCTTCACAAGTAAGACAAACTATTGTGATTGTTTGTACAACATGAAAACAATCACAAGGCGTAAATTGATTGCACTTCATGAAAAGTCGAAAACGAAACTATTGACTGTAAAACAAATTAAAGTTCTACGTGTGCCATTATATATTTATGCCGCAGTGTAAATAAACCTATAGATGACCATAGACATAATCATTTTTCAATGGTATATGTTTGAGTTTACCAGACATGGATTGGAAAAACTATTGCAATAAGTTTACCCATATCCCCATGTTATTACAATATAAAGTCGTTCTGCCAAGTCATACCAAATTATTATTATGTCAACCCATCTTATATCAAAATGAAAGGAATGTTCTCAATATGTAACACGGTACTTTTAACAAAAGTAAGTAAATGTATACAAAGAGTAATGAAGCTACTTAATATCTAAAATAAGTTAGCTACAAGATTTATTGAAATGGGTTGTTATTGTATAAATTGTATCATGTGTCATATTATGTGTGTACTTTGTCCATCAATGTATACTAAGTAATATTTGACCGCTTGTTACGCACGATTACGTGTGGCGTGAGTGTAAAAATAAAACTTGAAACTTGAAACTTTATAATTTGAACCTGATATTTATTAGTTTCCAAAGACAAGATTTCCTTCACATATTCAACTCTGTGAAATAACAATGAATACAATGTATAAATATACAACAACACATATATTTATATATAAAACTACAAATAAGAATAAACAGCAACATTTGATAAAGACAATTCGATTAGAAATATTGGGATGTTCGTTGAAATTATATTTGTTTAAGGGGGGAACATCGTTACTCTTTCACAAAGTGAGCAAAGGAAAAAATCGTCAGACTTCCCATAGTGAACAGTTTCTGATATGAGTTATAATCAAATAAGTGTACAGCTATCCTTTGTTTTAAAACCCTTATCTGGTTCAAAGGCTAATACGTGTGTCTTCCCAGGTATTCCTCAGCACTAGACGTGGGAGTTGGGTGTTGAACCGGATAGGGCCCAATGGTCTTCCCATTGACATGGCGTTTGCATCCAGGTTGTTAACGTTTTTGAGAACAAATGTGATACCGGTTGGTATGATGGAATCAATGGCACGTTCTCAATTGAATAAACGGTTTGATCACGCAGCCTACTCATTACAGCCTAAGCATGATGTCTTTGCACAACATCCCACAGTAAACGATAGCCTTCCAAACCGTATAGCCAGTGGATCTATTAAAGTCAAGACGGATATCAAGTGCTTCACTGCAACTGGTGTCGAATTCACAGACGGAACGAAGGAGGAGAACATCGATGTTGTGATCCTTGCAACTGGCTACATCTTCGGATTTCCTTTCATTGATAAATCCGTTATTGATGTACAGGACAACCGCATAGAGTTATTCAAATACATGTTCCCACCTAACCTCAAGAAGCCGACAATTTGTGTTGTTGGATGTGTGCAACCTATTGGCTCCTTAATGCCAATCTCCGAGCTTCAGTGTCGGCTGGCTGCTAGAGTGTTCAAGGTAAGAAGACTTCTATAAAACTAACCAACAAATGGCAGTAGGTACGCACACTATGATCACTATTTTGGCAAGTTTAGGAATTCTTAACATTATATAAATACACCTGATTTTTCACAATACTTTGCAGCATATTTAATCTACCAGTTAATCCCTTAGGAGTTGATAATTTAAAAAAAATGTAAGGTTTAGTCTTTCACCGATTTCTACATTTCTAAGGGTGACGTCACGTTGCCGTCCAGTGACGAGATGTGGGCTGACATCCGGCAGAAGGAAGAGGAAATGCGACACGTTTATGTTAAATCAAAACGTCACACGATACAGGTCCACTGGATCCCGTACATGGACGAGTTGGCCACACTTAATGGCTGTAAACCCAACCTAGGTATGTTTTCATCCCTGTCAAATTCATCTACTGTAAACACGCGGCCTATCTATCCACACATCTTTATTCACTTCGGCAATGTTTACAAAATGTAACTTTATATTTCATTCTAACTCGATTCATTTGCAACGCGTGTTTTAATTACATGGCTTAATGGTGTTAAATCCCGCCTGCCGCCCTGTTTCGTACCAAAAACGTAAAAAGCTGATTGCCGTGTAAAGTGATAAAGTGGAGTGAGGAGTTGATTATATTTTTCGGATAGATCAGTGCTAAGTGGTTCTTGCACGTACCTTCATTTATCACTGAAACTTACATCCTATTAGTGTGTTAATAACCCCTATTGGTCTCGAATTCAAACCAAATTTCATAAGCCAATCGCCAGTACTTGTCCCTAAATTAAAATGCTTGCGATGGGAAGAAGTTAGAAAGTGACTAATGGCGTCTCCAGTGATGCAATATTTGATATTTGATATTTACATTCTAAAACATATTATATTAATTTGCCTTCAAGAACATATACTTTTCATTAATAAGGAAACTATACTATATGCACATTTACGTTCCAGAACATATCGGCATTAAAAACGAATCATGTGCGTTCCACACTGCATGCTTTGTAAAAGACGACTACTGCGGGAAACCCCTGTAAAGTTTAAGATTGATTTTGTGCCATCTATTTGATCTGTTGCGACTTTTGCAAACCTGATTAAAATACAGCTCCTCATTATACTGCGGTATGAGGATGATCCTCATACGTGAGTAGAACGATAGTATAATGAGGGGCTGTATTTTAATTAGATTGCATCTTTTGCAACGTTTGAGATTCGATTCGTTTCCTAGCACCTTACTTGGCAACACATACCTTTTGGCCTTGGCGTTGAGCATTCGCTTAATCTAGAAAAGTTATGGATTCTGCTCTAAGACAGCGGCAAACCAAAAATCTACGTCTTTTAGACAGTGTTCCCCCTAGGCCTATTTGTCAGGATAATGTAACCCCGTGGGGTACGATGCTGCCTTGTCCAGGTACAATGTATGAAATTTCTGTGAGATTGGCCCTACAGTTGCCTCGTCTTCGTGTGGACTCCGTCTTCATATGATCTGAACTTTATTACAAATATTTACAATGTAATTATGAATCGGAGTTAGGTTTGGATCGGTCGTGGGTCAGGAAATTTGTTATATTCCTAATCAGTTCAATGCATGTATCATTAATGCAAATATGCAACGCACTTCATACTGCGTTTTGAATCTACATGACACTACGTTTTGAAAAGAAATCATTGTTTTTAAATATAAACAGTATGATTTTGAATGTAATATATTAAAAATTCAAGCGCGTGATACTCCATAGTCCCTTTCATTTGTTATTATTTTAGCACATCATATTTTGATGTAAGATGTGGTATACGGAAATATACGACAAAGAAACATGTGAGATGTTTAAAGTTTTATTGTTGTTAAATACGATATATATTTCCTTTTTGTTATTTGATAATATTTACATTCAGTATGCTTAGACCCATTGACAAAAATTACATTCATAAATGCATAACACAGGTGTTCATAGAATCTCAGCACGTGGGAACTGATAGTAACCTGATCACACTGCGTAGTAATACACTACAAAAACTACTCACTCGGAACGACCGACCTAGATGCTTAATTCTTACATCTTAAAATATTATTGAACTGTGCTTTGTGAAATATCCACGTATTCACGTGTCCTGTGCTACAAATAAACATTGAATATGGAACTACATTTTGTTGTGTTATTGTTGTTGACGGTTGCTAAGATCTCTCACGATAGTGTCACATTTCCCCGCGAAAAAACACTGTTCTCGCCACTGCGTTGCACCCGTGTATAAGCAGGAACAAACCCTGTTTATTTGTTTTATTCGTTGTTATATCGATCCACTGAAAGGATTCGTCAATGTAAATATAAGGAATGATATTTATTTTTTCAACATTTATGAGGTCATAACAACAATGGGTTTTTGGACATATTTTACATGAATCGCTAACGCGATTCATTCAATATGTCCATAAACCCATTGTTGTTATGACCTCATAAATGTTGAAAAAATAAAAATCATTCCTGAAATAAATTAATTTGTCAACACTCGTTTTCAGGTGTGATGTTACTGAAGGACACAAAATTGGCTATGAAGTGTTTTTTCGGGCCGTGTACCCCCTACCAATACAGACTCGAGGGGCCGGTCAAATGGAGCGGGGCAAGAGACGCTATACTCACACAAATGGACCGCACATTGAACTCCTTGAAGACGAGACCATTGGGATTTGAGTCCAAAAAGTCAGGAGGAGGGAAATTATATGTGTTCTTGTTCATATTCTTTGTACTGCTGGCTATTTTATATAAGCTACTATTGTAAACAATGTGGTTTTCGTGTTTGCTGTCTTACTTAGACCATGTATTTAGGATGCAGTTGGACCATTTGACAGATAATATATGCATGTGGTTAGTTTGTTTAAGTGATTTACAAGAAACGACACACCGATAAACGCAGGGTTAAGGCATCTTTATTTATGACAATTAAACCTCGACTTTTTCTTGTTAACATTTGCGTACGCAAAACAATCCTTTTTCGGATCCGTGGACTGTATCTATTAATTCATCTTCCTTATGGAACAATCATTCCTTAATTACCGCTGAAATACAATATGGACTCCATATCGTTAATGGATTACGTTGTAGCTGACGTAATTTGTATCAAAACATTGTCATACTGTAAAGCCTTTAACCAAAAAACTCACAGTTTTAGTGGAGGCAAGGTGACTATACACTGTGCTTTTTATAGCGACTGCTCTTTTATCTTAGATGAATAACATTTTGGAACTTCCATTAACGCAGATCGATCAAAACTTTACAAGAACCATTTTGTCGCTCAGACTGGTTACAGTTGGAAGGCATTTTAACAGGCAACCCTCTGGAATGGCAACTTGTCCAACTCTTGAAAGGGACTCCCCTCAGGATCAAACTGGTCAATCTGGACTAGAGAAATGGGTTTTGGCGTTTGGTTTACATGTAGGGGACATAACATGATAATATTGTTGAGTTCGTTCAAGTTCAAGGATTTCTAAAGTAGTTATAGGTGTAGAAATTGCCATGTGAACTCTTTTATTGTTTGTTATACAGAATGATAGATTACGATTATAAGTACTAAGTTGTGGTCCATATTAATAAGACATGTGTAGTAAGTGAGTTCACATTTCAGTTATAAAACTAAGCCAAGATTCATTGCGCAATAACATGGATAAATGTCAACAATGGACGTCAGCATCGGTATCGGTAAAAGATTTGAATCAAGCGCAAATTATATGAAGCTGAAAGTGTTCTAATGACGATTCTATTTGTTTTGTCTATTTTGGATAAATAAGGTAGAAGCCATTCATTTACCTAATCATAAACATGTTACTATATTTTTTAAATAACACTGTAAAAAGACCTTGTATTTTCTATAGAAATATAACCATTATATAATATATATAGAATAGTGTTTGGTAATGATATTCTTGAATGTCTGGTTTTAGATACGTGTAATTGATGCACGAGTTTATGCATTTTTGTTTTTGGATTTACCCTATGCAGAAATTATTCTTTTTCAGGTTATTTGTGATAATTTGTAAAAACAACAAAGAATATGGGTATTTTTGAATTTTCATTTTAGATTGATCAAATGGTGACAATATCAGAATTAATACGAATTGATAGCACTAAACTTTTTATACATAATTTTATTTAAATTGAATTTATAACGATGGTACAAAATTGTTTGGTTATGCCAAGTATACCTGAAAGACAAAGTCAGTTAATTACTTTTGCATACACCGCTTCACAGGTAATGTTATGTGTTTATAATCTTAACGACGGAATCAGAATCGTGGCAATTCGTTTTAAAATATATAAAGAAACATGTTTACGCCACTCATTAATGCCGTTAGAGGAGCGAATAAATCACATATCCGTAATGGAGCAGTTCATGAACCGCATGAACATTGATACTACTGTAGTATATTTGTCAACAAAATTAATCCGATTTGAATATGACGACACAGATCTTATTGTCAACAGATCATGACTAGAACAATTACTGTATATGTATGCATTACATTGTATATAGATATGGTACCGTTTATGTTTATGGTTGGAAATAATAAGGATGTAATGATTTCCTATGAACAGAGAAAGCTGAAGTATATATTTTATGATCATATATATGTGTCTGTTTAATACTAATTACATTGTATAACGTCTCAAGTTGACATTGCTGTTTTTGTAGATGTCTATTACTGCTGTATTGTTAAACAGAACGTTGATTGTAATAAGACAATACTTTGTACAGATGATTTTCTTGTATATTATACTTAACTATTAAATGATATTGTAAATAAACATATTGCCGCCAGTTAACTGTCATACGTCTGATGTTTTATAATTATGCTAATTTGTAGCAAAATAAGCTACATGTGTATAAAATTGAAAGACCTTTTGCAGTTAACACGAAATATATTAGATTTGCCTCCCACTGTTATGCCTTTAAAATAGTAAATCTTTAGCTGTCATCTCTGTTGTTAATGAATGTTGAATTTCTAGCCATTCCGTGTTTGGCTATTATGCGACCTACAGTGTTAATCCCATATGTGTTGTAGTTCACCACTTGGCGTTGGAGGCACTTTTTATTCTACATGTGTGTCGATCCCACATCGGTACCTAAATAAATACCGAAGTGTTTATCCGCCTAACGATGGAAAAACGGATTTTTTCACATGCAACGTGTGCCTGAAAATACTAGCCTCTACTTATCTTAAAAATTAACAAATCGTATACCTAATCGGTCCTACAGTACGTATACAAAGTAGAGTCTGTTCCCTGCTTCGAGATTGCTTAGTTTTTTCAACCAAGTGAAAACACGTATTGCACCTATTACACTTGTATCAAAGTACAAGTATGTTAATTAACACGCTGTAAAAGTGTTTTTTGTTAGTATTTTTTTCGGATTTCCCGGTAGTTATAAATACTCGTAAAACAAAACTGTTCCATAATCATCTTTAATAATCCAACTAAAATAGGGGAAAACTTGTACTTTTTAATACCGTATCTGAGGTTGTATCCAACCCGTATTTTATTTCGTAAACTTGTAGTTACATTTAATTAATGCATACATGAAATAAGATCCAGAAACAAGTTATTAAACTTATATCAATCTGTTTCCTTAGCAGAAATGATAATGGATAACAGAGACTTGAAGTAGAAGAAAGAGGACAAGAAATAAGAAGAGAAGAAAGAAGAGCATTTGCCAATGTACAAAACGTTAACCTATGTAAATGTCACTGATGTCATAACGGATTTATAACAGTGGAAAATTTATGCTGTGTACTACTACAAAGATGCTACGAAAATACAGTGTACCAATATGGGAAAAAACCCACGCGCGCGCACAATCACACACTCTCACTTACAACCTCACACACGCACACACAAAACCGAGGTTTATATGAGTGAAAAATTGGGTGTATGAATTAAATAGGTAAAACACGTTTTGAGTTAATAATAAAATTTTGTACACAGTTAAATATATTTCGATTTTGGGCAGGTGAAAGATTGTTGTCGTCACCAAACAGAAGGGTTTCTACTGAGATATGATTGTGTATTGGCCTGAAACATATTTGTCTAATGTGTTCATAGTTCCGACAAGATAATAGATAATGATCGTTTGTTTCGTTTGCCTCATGACAGGAACAGAGTGGGCTCCCTACTAGATTTTTATGAAAAAGATTGCCGTTTAGTGAACTACATTTCATTCTGAGCATGGCATGGTATATTTGACCTATTCTAGTACCACAGAAGTAATATGATTCTTTCTGTAGTAAGTTTATGTTAAAATGTAGCTTTAGTTTTTTATGGATTCGTCATTCCGTATGTCTTCATGGAGTTTATTCAATAAATTGACAGAAGCAGATAGGAAATATTTCTACAACGTACAGGTCTAAATCTATTTGCGTCTCTAGTGTTATGTTGGTGGATGTGCGAATGTCGTTCTGGGAGAATGTTTCTAAGATATTGTGGGGTAATGTTCTGTACTATTTTGAGAAATTGTATGATTTTGTGGTGTTTCCGACTACAAGAAAGTGTTTGCCATCCTGTTTCTTTGTAAAGGTTTGCATGACTAGTGAGATTGGTGCCTCCTGTAATGATGCGTGCAGCTTCAAGTTGTATATTTTCTATCATTTGTGATTGTAGGTTGTCTCTAATATCGGTCTTATAAAGGTAAAATATATATGTTGTAACCGTCACAAATGATGGTACAGCCGTAGAGTTACCCTTCATTCGGTGTACACTGAGCACTAGTCACACTTATCGTAAGTGTGCTAAGGATAGTACGACTTCAGATAATGTTTCTTTGTTTAGTCGTTATCTGTTTATCACTTGATACTGTGGACATCGGGTGGGACAGACGAGTACATAACGGACAGCATTGTATCGGTTAGTATATTAAAGTATATTTTCATATTAATATATCATTATAAACATAGACATGCAACAATCGAAGATGGCAGTGTTGATAGATTGTGTTTTATAATTATGCATGAAAATGTAAATCATTTCACTGACATAATAATAAACACATTTATATTAATACAGTGATATTAAATGTGATTATTAAGATACTAAACACGTTTCAGTTGGATCTACAGAAGTCAACATGCTGATAATTCATTAACCACAGGTCATGAAGAAGGTAGCGGTGATAGGAGCAGGTGCCAGTGGCCTTACTGCCACCAAGTGTTGTCTGGACGAGGGACTGGTACCCACGTGCTTCGAGATGTCCGGTGACATAGGTATGAGGGGGTTTTGACTGATGCATTTTACACATTTTATATTTTTATAACTTTTGCTTGTCAGGTACATGTATTGCTACATGTACGTTATATATATATAATTTTGAATTATTTTTTTGCTGTCGTTGTAACAAAGATCCTGGATTCTTTGTATACGTTTTATTTGTTTTCAATATTCAATAATTGTATATAGTCTTTATTTGAAGTCTTTTTTTTTCGTGATATTTTGTTTGGTTCTCTTTTTTCAATTTCGCATGTTTTGCATATCAGATTATATAGCAACATGTTTAAAGAAATGAAACATGCATTTTTTGATATCGTACATTTAAAACAGTACTGATCCGCCAACTCACTTTTATCGCTTTCTAAACACAAGGGCTATTTATTATGAAGCCCTTTCGGATTAATTGCATAATGAAGTGATATCTGAACATAACAAGAGAGGTAATATTGTACTGCTATCGGTACAAACATCGAGTGGTTGTCTCTCTTTAATCCATTTTAGATTCGTGTTTGTCTTGTAAAGCTTTATGCATTTCCATTATGAATTGCTGAAATGAAAAGGATAAATGATTTTATAACAATTAATGTATTATTATGATATTTTACGCACCTCCCCTTCAATAGTAGCTTAAACCAATGTGACACCTAGTATCACCGATAAGTTCTACAAAGATTAGACAGCTGTATGATGCAATGTAATTCATACTTAATCAATTACCAAATTTCAAAGGTGTATTCACCTGTGTATGTGTTACACGTTCACTTTCAAGATCCAAGGTGGTAGACACTGCTGATGGATTTCTTACTCTCCCCAAGTTTGACAAATTTGAAAAATCTATAAATTATGGGGTTTAGCATCTCATATTCTGTTTCAATAGTAGTAAAGACCAATTTGGATTTTGAAACTTGTTGGCACCTAGCATCACCGATGAGTCACAGAAGACAAGGCTAGACAGCTGCATGATACAGAATAATTCATTTTTGGCTTGGTGCATTCCCCTGCGTGTGTGTGTTACGTTCATCCTATAAAGTAAACATGATATGCATATTAAATAAAGCTAACAATAGCAGCGGGATGCTGAACAGACACTTAACTTAATTAATAGTTTGGCTTTGACTTAATTGTTGACCTTGAATGACTTCAAACAAAGGATTCATATTAATATTTGATAATTTAACTAAACATGTATTTAAACACTTGGGTCTTTATAATTATTAGGTGACCGTGATGGGCTATACTTATTGGGGTTCAACCTACGGTGAAGATATTCGTTAACGCCACAACACCTAATTTACAGCTTTGTGATATAACTCAAAGGATAATCAAGAACAGGGTTATGATTGGAATTATTCTGATGTGTGGGGAAGTAAACTTATTGACGTTTAAGGGTTTTAGATCACGGTCGTTAAATACGCCATCCTAATTTTTGTATATTTTGCGACAAAGAAAGGATGGAAAGCTAGAAATTAAAAAATGGACCAACCTTACCTTCTTGCTGAAGGAAAATAATTAATGAAACAAAATAAATTGATAAAAATCTGGTTGATATGATAATAATCTCGACACAATTTGAAGGATTGCTTGTTTTAATATATAACCCTGTTAATACTCTGAAAATATTATTTTCTCGCTCTAGATTCAGTTTTCGTCATCAGGATAGGTCAAAACTCTTGATTGTCATGTCCCTGTGATTGCAGTGTCCACCATGATTGAAGACTTGCCAAGTATATCTTTGATTAGTTGTGTCTTACATACTTTCATGGGTTTCATGGGAGCCATCATAAAGGACGCGATTTGTGGTTATGCTAACGTTTACCTTTCGTGAACACTTTATTTAACCTACATCTGTATTTAACTAGCTCGTGTTTATCATGCATGTTGAAGTAGGAAACTTGTATGTGAAGACAAGCATAACTGTTATCCGTTTCGAATACAATTACGTGATTTCTGTTTGATGCAATGCTGTATAAGCTGATTAGTTTCGTTATGTCATGTGTTAGTTTCCTATACATGTTAGGAGGCCTTTGGCACTACCAGAGTGAGGATCGGGAGGACCAGGGAAGTGTGATGAAGTCTACAGTCATTAATACGTCCAAGGAAACTATGTGCTTCAGTGACTTCCCCATACCTCGGGAGTTTCCAGTCTTTATGCATAACACCTATGTCCAGAGATACTTGGAGATGTATGCTGATGCTCATCAATTACGGCAATACATCACATTTCACACAGAGGTATTATATTATATGCACCGTATTTTGGTACCGTACAGATGGTGAGTTGTCGAAAGTAATTAGTTCACAAGCGTGAAATATATAAACTCCAATGACGAAATATCAACCTTGAAATTAATATATGTATGCATTTGTTTCTGATTTTATGAACGATTTTAAGAATAAACATTGAGAGCGGCCCTTTGTGATATTACCTTATCACTAAGTCTACATGATGTACCAGTATTTTAATGCTCCTACAGGTTCTTAGCCTGAAAAAGCTGACGATTTTAACGATTCCGGCCAGTGGATGATTACTCTGCGTAACAAGAAGACCACCGAAAAGGTTGAGACATTATTTGATGCGGTGCTAGTATGCACAGGTCACCATGCATCCTCACACGTCCCTGTCTTTCGCGGGTTTTCCGAATTCAAAGGCAAGGTCATTCATTCCCATGACTACAAGACTCCCTACCAATATGAAAACAAACGAATCGTCGTCGTCGGCATTGGTAACTCCGGTGGTGATGTCGCTGTGGAACTCAGTAGTGTGACGTCACAGGTACGTGTTGTTGATTGTTAGAACTTTAAAATAAATAGTATTCAAAGAGATCAACCAAAAGGTAAGCCAGCAGTAAAATGTGTGAAATAAATATCATAGATGCTAAAGCTGTAATCAAATACAGTATAATGTCATAAATGTTGAATTTTAATTGAAATGCTACAAAATTGTTTTGATTCGCGTCAATATTGTTTTTTTTCCAATATTAACAATCTAAACGAAAAGCTGTCGGGAATCTTGTATCAGCTACCTCAAAACAATTTCAATCTTCCTTTTATTAAATATTACAAAGGCAAAAGTTGCTTTATATTTTTTAAACATATAAGTTTTGAATTCAACACCATCCTATATTTATTTTAAAATTGTAATGCAATAACGTGAACTTGCAAAAATGTTTGTCGTTATACATGTAACTTAAATGATTTGTCAATTGTAGGTGTATCTCAGCACCAGACGTGGGACGTGGGTACTCAATCGTGTCGGACAAAATGGACTGCCAATCGATTTCACCCATTCCAGGTTAGTAGTATGGGCAAACAGCCTCTGTTCCTTACGAATCAAGGAACCTATGGCGAGACATGTTTTGAACTCAAGATTTGATCATGCCGCTTACGCATTGCAGCCCAAACACTCGTTCTTTGCCCAACATCCCATGGTCAACGATGATCTTCCAAACCGTATAGCCAGTGGATCTATCAAAGTCAAGACAGATATCAAGTGCTTTACTGCAACTGGTGTAGAATTCACAGACGGAACAAAGGAAGAGAACATAGATTCAGTTATTCTAGCCACAGGTTATGTTATTGGATTCCCTTTCATTGATACATCTGTTCTGAATGTTCAGCAAAACAATGTAGAACTTTACAAATACATGTTCCCACCCAAACTGAGGAAGCAGACGTTATGCATCATAGGATGCGTTCAACCTCTGGGGGCATTGATGCCGACGTCAGAGTTACAGTGTCGCCTAGCAACAAGGGTATTCAAGGTCTGTATATACATATAAAACCTGTCACTGTTATTGTCTTACTGTGTAATAGAAATCTGATTTCAAATATCGCCTATGTTATGTGATAAAGAAACGTTTTGAGAGACCAAAAAGTGTATTTAAGTTATGCTTTATATCACTTCTAATTAATAACGTACAGTTCTAAAAATATTGTAGTCAGTAAAAGTAAACCGTAATTTGGAATATCGACTTTCCTTTTTACCTCTGGAAAAACTTTAAAGAAATAATATCAAATGAAGAATACTGCCTGTGCGCTTGATTAGGAGAATATTTACTAGAATAATGAATAAATAAAGTATTTATTCAAATTTTAATAAGTCGACTAAGAGAAAACCTTAGTGGATATTTGGACTACAACATACAGATAAGACCCGTCCCTTCAGGAGTCATCAGCGGTACACTGTACCAAATATCTAAATATTGAAAATCTATAATTTAAAGTGTTCCAATACAGTAAAAGGTGAAAGGGGCCTCCATGTATAATATTATATTTCCCTTTCGTAAACCTTGAGATGTTATTGTGTGAGTAACTGTTATGTCTTGCCATGTACCTATATGTACACAACTTCATTTTATTAAATATCATCGTTCGCAATTAACGTTTTGAAAACAATATTTAAAAAATAGTATATGTGTGTATATTTTGCAATGGAAGTAATTTTGAATCAATTTCATACTATTCGAGTTTAATTGGTTGTCCGTTCCTTCCCCAGGGTGATGTCACGTTACCCTCCAGCGACGAGATGTGGAAGGACATCCGGCGGAAGGAGGACACTATGAGGAAAACCTACGTGAAATCCATACGTCACACGATACAGGTAGATTGGATCCCGTACATGGACGAACTGGCAACACTCGTCGGCTGTAAACCAGACTTACGTAAGGGATCGCACATGCGTCAATAAAATAAGCAAAACTACAATTACTTAGACACTGTCGCATTCAACACTTACATTTCATCTTTAAAAGGACGAACTATGTCAAATCTTATTCCAGCTGTTGAAAAAGATGGAAGCATGTACAACGCGGTATGTCAACAATTCATTACCGATGTCAAATTGTGTTTTAAAATAAATCATCAATGATACATATTTAGCGCAAACTTAAGGCATTTTATGTTGATGTGATAAGTCTTATGATTTATACGTGTAGTGATATTATCAACAAGATTTCTTAGTCAATTTTTATGTAAAATTTGCACGTTTTATAAAACTATGCAAAAGCTCCTGTGCCAACAATATGTTTTTTTGTAATGCAGGCTTTCTGCTTCTGACAGACCCTAAGCTAGCATGGTTGTGTTTGGTAGGTCCGTGTACACCTTATCAATTCAGACTCCAAGGCCCGGGGAAATGGACAGGGGCAAGAGACGCCATTCTGACTGTAAAACAACGAACTTTATATCCATTAAAAACGAGATCTTTAGGTTTCGTTCCTAATCAATCTCAGTCAGGTTTCGCTATATTCTCTTTCTCATTCATTTTAATGTATATCATGTTTATTTGGGTGGTCTTTGAAAAATGAAATAGAATCAACAGATTTTAGCTCAACATAGTCCGCCGTCCGTCCGTCCGTCCGTCAACTTTTCCTTTCCTTTAAAACGCTACTTGTCATGAATGACTGCGCAGATTTTAACCAAATTCGGTGAGAAGCATTCTTGGGGAAAGGTGTTTTTTTGTGTAAATGGTGGTGCTGGGNTCTTATTCTGTAGGAATAAAAGCATTTGTTCCATATTTGGTCAGAAGCATTCTTGGGTGACGGGGAACAAATTTGATATAAATGGTGGGTCTGGCCCTCCTGGGGGCTGAGGGGCGGGGCCCAATAGGGGTAATATAGTAAATTCTTTAAAATCGTTCTACTTCTGTAGGAATGAAAGGATTTGTTCCATATTTAGTCTGCAGCATCATTGGGAGAAGGGGAACCAATTTTGTATAAACTGTGGGTCTGGTCCCCTAGGGGCTTGATGAGCGGGGCACAATAGGGGAAACATAACAAATTATTCTTTAAAATCCTTCTTATTCTGTAGGAATGAAAGGATTTGGTCCATATTTGGTGTGAAGCATCCTTGGTTAAAAGGGACCAATTTTGTATAATCGGTGGGTCTAGCCCCAATGGGCCTGAGGGGCGGGGCCCAATAGGGGAAACAAAGCAAATTCTTTAAAAAAACTTCTTCTTCTGTAGGAGTGAAAGGATTTGGTCCATATTTGGTCTGAAGCATTCATGGGTGAAGGGGGACCAACTCTGTATAAACGGTGGGTCTGGTTCCCCTGGGGACTGAGGGGTATAGCCCAATAGGGGAAATATAGTTGTTTTTTTAAATCCTTCTTCTTCTGTGGGAATGAAAGGATCTGTTCCATAATTGGTCTGAAGCATCCTTGGGTGAAGGGGAACCAATTTTGTATAAACGGTGGGTGTGGTCTCCCAGGGGACAGAAGGGCGGGGCAAAATTGGAGAAAAAGCGGTTAAACTTTCTTCGACCATCGGGATTAAGGGATTTTATCCTTATTTAGTCTGGAGCGTCCTTGGGCCAAGGGGACTCAATTTTGTATAAACGTTGGGTATGACCCCCTTTTGGGCATAGGGGTGGGGCTCTGTTTGAAGGTTGTTCTTGCTTATCTCAAGTAATGGATGGATCTTTCTGAAATACAGCACCTACCATGGAGTGCTATATCTTTACTTCATATCAATTATTTTAAACATATTCAGGTGAGCGATACAGGCCATCTGGGCCTCTGGTTATATTCAAATAGAGAACAAACCATGCCGTTTTGGTACTGTTCGAGTATACTGTACTTTCATGAAACACTTCAAATTAATTTCTTGTCAATGTTCTTGAGATCATTTTTACACATCTACAGAAAAGGTACCTTTTCACGTCATTCCTATAGACTGAAAATTGTAATAAAGGGATGTTTTTATAAATATCACATGTACCAACAGAAGTGCTGCATACTTGTCTTGTTGTTTGCCGTAATTCATCAAAATGGAAAAGAAAGCTATTGCAAAAAATAAAATAATATTAAACGCAATAAGGAAATAACGTAACATGAAAGACTTTTGCCTCGTCACTGTTACATTTGGTGAATAAGCGTACGGGCATATCTGATATCCTTTAGATCAATGCTGTGTATATCAATTTGCTTAAATGATGGTCTAGCAGTTTAGGTGAACATATTTCGATGATTAAAATGAAGTATTTCTGTGAGGTTCTTTATACATGAACTACACCCAAATGGCATGTTTGGGTGTATCATTGCGATTTGGAGTTCCTGATTCCAGAAATAACAGCCAAAGTATATATGTTGATACCAAATTCGTGTTAATTGTTAACTGTGAAAAAGATGAAATGTATCGACAATACAGGAACATGTAACGTAATAAATATAAAATCTGTGATCTTTGCATTGTTTAACTAATTGCTATTTTTTGTTTTCAAAACAAAAATATCGCCTGACAAAAATATAGATAAAGTAGATTTTAAGTTGAAGATAATCAGAAAGGTAGATCAAATTTAAATAAAATCAAACATTTAACTATTGGCAATTTAAAATGTCATTTTCGTAGTTTTATCATTCATTACAAAGACATTGCAAATACACTGTAAGTAAATGTTGCGAGTCAGTGGTTGAGAGACAAGCATACACGTTCCACCACTACACATCACATCAGACGTATATTAATGGTCGCCATCAAGTGGCATAATATATTACCAGACAGTTATAGATCTGTCTAAATGTAAGATTCCGTTAATTAATCCTGTTTGTTTGCCATATGTTGCCAGATTTTTGTTGCAATTACTGTACATACATACTGGTTTAAATATAAACTCTTTGCGTCACATGTACTAACAGCTGTCTGTAGTTTGTATTCTGTGGTTATTATATTTGATATCACCTGTGACATTGATCTTGGCGTTAGCAGGTGAGTAATACTTCGTCATCAGTTGAGTCGTATTCGGATATCGATATACATTACTAACAAAAACAAATCGTGCACAGGGAATGGCCAGAAAGACAGACATAATGGATATCTTAAAGCCTGACTTTAATACCAGTGATTAGTACATTAAACGCATTCCTATGTAAGAAAACTTTTTTCATGTGTATAAAGTCATCAATATATTATATTTATATGTTACTATGTACAGCTGAAGAGGTGATAAAGACAATAGGTGATATGCTTGTCCATCTATGTCAAAATGTCTAGCAAGGTCAATGTTGTTAACGGTCGATCATACTAGTTTGTCGGTTTATAATGGAGACATTTACATGGTCGATCATACTAGGATGTCGATTTATAATGGAGACATTTACACGGTCGATCATACTAGGATGTCGGTTTATAATGGAGATATTTACACGGTCGATCATACTAGTATGTCGATTTATAATAGAGACATTTACACGGTCGATCATACTAGTATGTCGCTTTATAATGGAGACATTTACACGGTTGATCATACTAGTTTGGCTGTTCATAATGGAGACATTTACAAGGTCGATCATACTAGGA